CAGGGAGCCTTCCCTGCCCCTTTCCCATAGCCTGGCTCTCTCCCTGCTGTGGATAACCCTTCCTGTGTTGTCCTCCCTCTGGTGTGGGGTGTGCAGACCCGCTTGGGGCTGCAGAGCTGAGCCTGCTGGTCTCTGGGCAGCGGGGAGCAGGAGCGCCAAACCGCGCTGATAAGAGTTTAATTATCGATGCAAAAGGCGTTGTTGCATGGTGGGGGGAGCCTGGCTGCGAATCTTGGGAGGCCTTTGAAGTTGTGATGGAGAGGAACTGAAGCCCAAGGGAACAGGGCTGCTCCCACTGACCCTTCCTCCCCACGCCTGCGCTACAAAGGCCCTGCCTGGGAGGGAGACAGTGGAGTAATTAGAGGAAGGATCGCAGTGGGTTAACAATTAGTGAGGGTGCTCAGAGCTCTCTTTGGTCCCCCACTGCTCTTCTAGAGGCTGGGGCTCAGCACATCCCCCAGCGTTATCAGCCCCAGACTTGTTCCCCTACCCCACCATGCACCCCTGGGTGGGCTGAAGATCCACACGCTCCCCCTAGATACCACAGGCCCACTTCTGAGCCTAGGACACTTGGATGTGAGACCCCAAGGTACCCATGCATCTGTTTGTAGGGATGCAGTACATCCCTGCAGAAGCTGTGGCCACCAGAGCAAGTGCTGGGAAGGGTATCTGAGCACTCACTCTTTATAGGTGATGTAGATATAAATATAGATATTGATATAGATATAAATTATACAAAATAAAAGCATAGATACAGGTGTAGATAAATCACAAGAGATAGATGGTCCCAGGAAAAACACACGTCCTCTGGACGCTAGTCCCCGCCTCAGCTTCCTCACCCATCCCAAGCGGTGTTTGGGATTTGCTAGATATGGGTATGGATACAGATACAGATCCAGATCCAAAAATAAAGGGACAGGTATAAATACAATATACATAGACATCACACACAGACTCATACCCTTTGGCTCTTGTCTAATCTGTATCTGGGAGGCTGCAATGTGCACTACTCACGCCCCATTACACAATGCAACTTTATGCAGCAAGAGGGTCTGCCTTTACGTGAGGCTCCGTCTCCAGACCCCAGTTGGTGCTGGGAAGCGACCTGCCCACTCCTAGGTGCTTCCATTTGAACAGGCAATCAGGCTTGACAGCTTTTCCACCAGGGTGAGAATTTCCCCTGACACCTCCTGGTGTTTTGGCTCAATACGCCGAGGCAGGGCCAAGGCACAGAATAGGGGAGCGACAAAATGGTGCTCGGGAAGACAAAATGGAGCTCGCGGTTTGAGGCTGATACGTGCAGACAGTCCATAACATCAAACAGAATTGCCCAGCTGTAGGAGAGAGGTCTCCCAAACCGGCACATTTTCTGGGGCGGAGGGGGGGAAATAAAAAAAAAAAAAAAAAAAAAAAAAAAAGGAGAGAAAAAGTTTCAGTTGAAAGGGGTCCTTTGTGGTGGTCTCGCTCGCCCTCCGGCAGCAAGGGCGGGCTCTGAGCGTCACCCCTGGAGAAGCGGCGCTGCTTCCAGGAGATCACCTGCAAGGGGGCTGGATGGGCACTTGTCGCTCTCTTTGGGGTTGGGCTGCAGCCTGGTCGTCTGTAACGTGCTGGGTTTTGGGAGAGTGTTGGTCTGCCCATACCCCAGCGCGGCACGCCGCAGCGCTGCTGGATGGTCACTCGTATCTGCGGGTGTGTGTGCTGTACCAGGAGCTAACGCAAGAGCTCCCAGGCACGCAACGCCTTTATGTCTGTACAGAGCCTGCCACGGTGGGCTTAGTGCACAGGGTTCCCCTACACTGGGCTGAACTGCTTGTGAGGGGATAAAGGGAACAGCTCATCCCTCTTCCTGCAAAGAGGCACAAGGAATCTGGCAAGAATGGTGGGCACCAAAGCACCCACAAGGAGATGACTCCTCCATCTCTGTGGGAGTGGGTGACAACCACACGGTCAGCGTGCGAGTGTGGCAAGCTGGCTCCAGGTTGCACACACCGTTGTGCCAAGACAAATCTGGGATGCACCCACCCATGGGGTCTCAACATGGTTCCTCACAACGTGGTGGCTCCTGCTGGATCGTGGTCCATGCAGGCTGCTCGTGCTGCCTGGGGAGGAGTGGGAGGCACCCACGTCCACTGGGGAGCATCTCAGCGTGGGAAAGAGGGTGCAGAGACCACGGTGAGGGGGGAGAGAGGGTCTGTGAAAACCGTCCCCTCCCTGCAACCTGCCTGCTGAGGGTCACCAGGACCATGCTCCTGCACTGTGAGCAGGGGAACTCCCAAACCTGGGCTCCTGCTGGGCGAATTACCCAGGGAAAATAGGCAGAAAATCTTCAGATTAACAATAACAAATAAAAATGGATTTGAGATCT